CAGGAAAAAAATTTTCTTTTCCCATTCTCTGCAAAGGATATAAGAGGGACAATTGATAACATTTGAATAGGGGCTGTTGATTATAGTACTGTAGTAATATTAATTTCCTGATTTTGATAAGTGTACTGATGATGTAAGAAACTGTCTCTGTTGTTAGGAAACACACATTTAAGAATATAGAGATAAAGGGATATCATGTCTGCAATTTCCCCTCAAATGGTTCAGATAAAAATGATAGAATGATAACCCAAACGTAAAATGTTAACCTTTGGAGAATCCAGAAAGGTTTACGAGAATCATTTGTACTAGTTTAGCAATGTTTCTTTAATTACTTTAAAGGTTAACAAAATTACTGGGATTACTTAGGGAGAAAACGTGAGGAGCGAACAAACCTAGTGCTAAGACATGAATAACACATTTAAACAAAAATTGGGAGAGTAAAAAGGAAGTCCAGTGGGTTGCGGACAGAGTTTGAATGAAAGGTATAGCTGCTGTGCTCTTCTTTACCCTAAATTACTAAGAGATGACTTTCCGGTAACTGCCCAGCCCCAATCACCAAAGCTAATCTTGCCGCTCAGGTCTGCGCAAAAGCAATCCCTCCCCAGCGGGCTCCGCCATCTTCCCTCACTCAGCTTGCGTGCGCATAAGCACGCACGCATCAACCAATCGCTGCCGACGCCGCGGGCTCGTTAACGCAAGGGCGGGGCGATCGTCTACACATGCGCACGGTTGGACAGGCCTTCTTCCTTCTCGCCGAACGCCGCCGCCATGGTGAGTCTTGCTGTCGTGGGCTCCGGGTCTTGTTACCACGCCGCTCGACCTCCACCTCGGCCGGGGAGCTGAGGCGCGCAATGGTGCCCAGAAGGTCCTTGGCACCGCGTGGTGAGGGTGCACAGGCAGGCTGTGCACGGGGTTTAGGCCCTTCCCGGACTGGCGGCTGGTGAGCGCGTGTGGAGCCCGGCGCGCCTTGGGCCACGCGTGCGCGCCGCCGCCGCCGCCGGAGCTGGACGGCTGAGGCGATCAGTGGCCTGGCCTAGGCGGAACCTGGGGGACTGCCGGGCGGGTGCGTGCGGGCTCCGTAGGCCTGGAGGTGGCGGGAGCCAGGCTTTCGCCACCGCCCGGTTTGCAGATTTGGTCCATCCAGGTTGGCCCGTGGTGTTCAGCACTCTTTTTCGCTGCAATTAGCCGTGTCTTTAAGCTGCAGAAAGTTATGTAAACTGATGAGTGTTTTTAAGTAAGTCTCGCTTTCTTTTTCTTCTCTCACGTTAGGTGTTCAGGCGCTTCGTGGAGGTTGGCCGAGTGGCCTACGTCTCCTTTGGGCCTCATGCCGGAAAGTTGGTCGCGATTGTAGATGTTATTGATCAGAACAGGGTAAGTGAAAGTGTCACAGCTTTTTACTAAACATAACAGTGAACGGTAGCACTACAGATGCTAATAATTTTTCCAGTGGCCCTCGAGGTGAGAATGCTATGAGTGGTAGCTTTATTTTACTATTGAGAAAACAGGTATAGTATAGGTTAGGGGTTTCAAGCACAGATTTAAGTTAGCTATTACTGGTTTTTTGGTATTACCTCAGCCACTTAAATTAGTCACAGCTTTTAGCCAATGATGGGCTGAAACGTTTTGAGGTTTAAGTGAGTTACTACATCTGAAGTGAGTTTAGAACAGATTCAGGCACATAGAAAGCCCTTTCGCGTTTGCATCAGTATTTGAGAGCAGCAAATTAAGGACTTGAACAACGCTTATGAACGAAAGTAAAGTTGTTAGAAATGTAAGGATTAAAGATCTAAAATTGCCCAGCAAATTACATGTGATTGATTTCCATGGTACTAATAGTAGTAGTTGACAACTTTTTAAAGAAGCATTTAATGGTATAAAAGCAAAGCCGTATGGTTCAAATAGAATTTAAATAAGACTGCTGTAAAGTAGGGCAATCTTTGTTTTTTCTGAGAAATTCGTTTAAATGCGGATTTGATAGCCTTGAAAGGACTAGTAATTATACAGAATATCT